ACACACACACACACACACACACACACACACACACACACACACACATACATATACATGTTTATCCTAGCGAGCAAAAGAAACGCAAAAAACTATTTGGACCATAACTAAATAACCCTCAATGGCAGAAGACTGAAATTTACACTAATTGATAGCATGTCATATGTTCTTTAGAAATCAATAGCTAGCCTGTCTTGCTTGCGACCGGAAACTAGAGTTATTGCCCCTTCATTGGAGCATGGAAAAAGTCACGTGGTGCCCTCGAAACACGGTCTAAATGAGTGACAAAAGTGTGAAAACTATTCACCTGAGCTCGGTTATGAAAATCGAGGTAAAAATCAGTTTGGCCGTTTCGAATGCATTTTCAACGACAGTGCCGTGTTTAAGGGCTATTGGAAGGTGGAGAAAGACTAATTGTGGTCACCAATCATTTTGGTGTTCACATCTCGACTATCCACAGACTGATAACCCGTTTTCAGCTCCCAAATTCTACGTCGGACCGAAAAGGTCATTTCGACCCACAGTGACCAGTGCACGTGCATACAGACACATTGTCGGGGTGTATCGTTCAAATCGATTTAAGACAGCTACAAGAAAGTCAGCTTTGGTAGGTAGTACCCACGAGGGAGTCAGAAGTCGACACACATTAAACCGTCGACCTTACTATGGTCCAGTCTTGACTACACACCATCGCCAAGAGCGTCTCAACTGGGCCCAACACCATGTCAACAGGCGTCTGAGAGACTGGTCTTCGGTTCTCATTTTCGAAAGAATGCCCTGTTCTCCATAGATACAATAAACAGAGGCCTCAGAGTTTATCAAAAGGGAGGCGAACGTAATTGTGACAGCTGTGTCATAAAGAGGAATCGCTGGGGAGGACATTGCACCTGGGGTGGAACCATGTGAAACCACAAAGTAGGACCAATAATCTTCTAAAACCATGGCCAAAGTCGAGGTCAAGGTATCAATGCTGCTTGCTGCATAGCAGACGTTCTTAGGCCCTATGCACAGACAAACTTCCGGTTCCAGCAAGATAATGCTTGTGCACACATGTCCCATGTTACACAGGATTTCCTCCAACACCATGGCATCATTCCACAACCTCACTCTGCCCCTAGCACTGATTTAAACCAATTTAAACCCGAGAAAACCAAGCTAATGACCAATAACACCAATGGCATCAACGCAAACATCAAAGTCAGGGGCGAGAAACTTGAGACCGTCAACAGCTTCAAATACCTTGGATCAATCGTCTCCGAGGAAGGCTCAAGATCAGGAATTCTCTCTAGAATCGCGCAAACAACAGCTGCGCTGTCAAACCTGAAGCCTATTTGGAGGGACAGAAACATCATGCACAACTCAAAAATCAGACTAATGCGCTCACTGGTCATCTCAATATTTTTATACGCCAGCAAGTCGTGGACACTGACAGCAGAATTTGAGAAAAAGATTCAGACCACAGAAATCAGATTACCGCAGACTCCTTGACCTCTCGTACAAAGACCACGTTTCAAATGCTGAGGTAAAAAAGAGAATCTCCAACGCAGTGGGGCAGCATGATGATCTACTGACCACAGTGAAGAGACGAACATTAAAATTGTATGGGCATGTCACAAGATCCACAGAACTTGCCAAAACAATCCTGCAAGGAACCGTACATGGAAAGAGAAAGAGAGGATGAGGAAGGCAGAGAAGGAGATGGGAGGACAACATTACAGAGTGGACAGGAAATACAATGGGTGACAATCTGAGGAAAGCAGAGGACAAAAATAGATGGCGAGAGCTGGTTTTCAGATGCAGTGGTGACCCAAAGGAAGCCCCAACCACGGGATAGGAGAAGGAGAAGAAGGAGAAGAAAGAAGAAGAAGAAGGAGAAGGAGAAGGAGAAGGAGAAGGAGAAGGAGAAGGAGAAGA